TTGCTCCGTTGGCTGCACCACCCCTACCTTGGGCTTGCCTGGAAGAGTAATCATAACTTTCTCCCCCCAGACCTGTCTTGGGAAGAGAGAAATGTCCAGCCCTAAATCTCCTTCTGAATTGGTTTATTTCAATAGAGTTTATCATTACACATGGTGTTCTGGAAGTAATAGAAAAGTGCACTAGAAGCTCCTGCAAATGGAAATGAAATGTAAATTTAGATTGTAAACATGGGACTGCAGTAAATAGATAGCAAGAAAAAGAGATGGAGAGATTGGAAAGTTACCGCATTTCTCTAACCCTAAAGGGGTAGTTTCCATAAATAGTGTAAAACCACTGAAGGGGAGCGGGGAGGAGGAGGAGAACAGAAGCAAACAGATTTTTCTCCTAATCCTTTTCACTTTGCAAAATGGGAAACGGTTTTTCAATCAAATTTCCCTGAGCAGAGGAAAGAAACCATGTCTGTTTTCAGACTGAAGGGCGCGCAGGTAGGTGTCTGCTAGAAATGATTGGTGACAAGTGCTGGCAATGTCCCAGCTGGGAGGAGGGGAAGAAGTCCAAAAATAAGTCCAAATAAGAGTGCAGGGTCAAGAAGGGCTCAAGGGCAGGATTTCCCCTGGATTTTCTGCCTTGCTTCCTAACCTTTCCAGTCTTAGCCAGTGGATTTGGTCCAGACCAGCAGGCCCTAGGATTTCAACCAGAAATTTTCAAGGAGGAAGCCAGCTTAACTTCACTCAGGAGACCTTGCATATTCTGACTTTAAAGAGCCTTTTAATCCAGCTATTTTTAGGGAGAGCCTCTGTAAAGGCTAAAGGATATGTTTTTTTAAAAAAAGAAAAGTTAAAATTCTACAAAGTGGAAATAAAGGTGTTAAATATTTGTCTGATGGAGAGGGGGAAAATCTGGGACACATCTGCATCAGCTGAAGGGGACTTAGTCAAGGAGGAAAAGGCAGCCCCAAGGAGACACTGTCCTGACCCTCTCTGATTTGTGAGATTTCAGCCGCTGTCGCCAGCCGGCTCGGCTGCTGAGAGCAGACCTGGCTTCTCCTCAGGGGGCAGAGAGGGGCCAGGTTTGTGTAAAGCTCTTTGCTGTGGTGCAGCTCAGCCAGGAGCTGGTATTCGGGCAAGGAACCAGGCTGACCATCATCCCCAGTGAGTACAAAAGGGTGAAGCCACATGGGGCTCCCTACAGCCTTATCCTTTCTAGACCACGTCCTGCAAGCTCTCCCGGACGGGCACGTGCTTGTTTGGCCTGGTCCATTACAGGGAAGCAGACCAGGAAAGACCCCAAAGCTATCAAACTCCTACTTTTGATTATGTCAAAATTCCTCACTCTTCTCACCTTCTGCTGTCAGTTTCCAGTAAGCCAGAATCTAGTCAGTTGATGAAGCAATGTCAATAAAAAGCAGAGAAACAGTTAGCCCCGCAGTGCAATAAAATAGAAACTGTACCAGTGCCAACCAGGGGTAGACAATGAGGGAAGAAGGAAAAGGGATGGTTTACCCAGACTAAGGTGGCCACTTATAGACAGGAAAAGAAAAACAATAAAAGCAAAATTTTAATAAATAATGTATATATTTATCAGGGCTCCATTGCCCTCTGGGAAGCCCAGTTCCCTCCCACAGCTGGCGCCTTCTGGCCTTTTATCAAATAACCTATAGGTTAGTGCAGAGTTGCCGGATCAAGACCATATTGACCCCCAGGGCCCTTCTGCAAAGAGCAGCTCCTGTTCATGTTTTTGTAAAGCCTCCCCTGACTGTGAGAATAGTGGAGGTAGCAGCTATAAACTGACATTTGGAAAAGGAACTCTCTTGATTGTGAATCCAAGTAAGTTTGAAGCAACTGGGGGAAAGCGGGAGGGTTTCAAAACACTTCTTTCTTCTGATTTAAATTACTTGTCCCCCCCCCCCCGAAAATCCCAGGTTGGTTTCCAAATCTAACGCTTGTGTTGGGACGATATGGTCCCTATCAGAGAGATTAGAACTCCATTGTATGAAGATTAAATTACCTTCAGCCAAAAACATTTCTATCATCCATCTTAAATAAGATTATTGGTACAGGGAGAAAAATGAATACAGGATCCTGAGGGATTCAGCTAAAGCCAGGAAATGTTTGCCAGAAAGATAAAGAGGAAATTGGCATATTGTGACTATGCAAATTCAGTAGACCAAATATAAGTCTCCTGATGTAGATACTAAAACTCCCTTAAATTTATCTCCTGAAATAATGGGACCCTGAGATTTCATTAATGAATGCTGGAAATTCTACAGACAGATTTTTTTTTCCTTCTTTTACCTTCACTTTATCTCTCTTAAAGGAACTAATCTCCATCTCCAGTCCAGTAACTGAGGTCTCCGTGGGTGGAACCCTTTGGTTATCTCTGAGCATTTAACCCCAGTTTTCCCAACATTCCCAAAATCATGGATTGAGCAGCCACTTTACTTAGTTCAACCGAGGAGAGGGGGAAGAATTCATTTGTCCTCTGGGTCGTGAGAATAGAGCAGCACACTCTCTTCTGCACATATCCGCTCACCCTTTCATAATAACACGTGTAAGTACTTGGGAAAGTTTTCAGTGCTATATATAGCAGTAAGGAACTGTGGTTGCTATCCACACTTCTTGAGAATCTGTGTTTTGGGTCGGCTTCTAAGAGTGGTGCTTATAAAGCAATGCCGGAAAGACTGACTTGTCATAAAATGTGAATAAAGAGGAAATGGGGAAAATCCTATTGAAGGCTCCCAGTTTCCTTTTGACATCAGCTAAGCACCCTGGTTGCTGAGTTTCATTTATTCAGATCTGCTTCCTGTGATTAGGGGAGGATGCAGCACTGAGAGAGGCGTTGTTGCAAAACACAGACCCGTTGAAGCTTTTGGAAAGACTGGCTCAGGGGAGGTGTAAATGACTAAGTGGTGCAGTGCACGCAGCGTTGAAGAGGTTTTTGCAGCCCTGGTAGCAGCCGGCTTGGAATGTTCCGGGCTAGGTCCTACCTAAAAGACACATAGCGTGGCTGGCCATGAAGTTGTCATACGCAGAAGTGCCTTGCTCAGCAGGGACAAAACCAGCCCATGTCTGCAACAAGAGAAACTGCAGAATGCGTAACATTGTCGAGTCCCACGCATTCAGTAATCTCTGAGGTCCTATCTAATTAAAGCTTCAAGGGGCTTCATATGAACCTCCTGAGAGGTGCAAGGGCATTCCTTCTCAAACGATGGGTAGCCAAGATTGGGGACAAGATTGGGGACCAGATTGGGGATTTTATCTTTGGTATCTCGCTGGAAACACACTAGGAAGAGCTCTGTGGTGGGTTTCTCCAGAATGCACGGAGAAGCTGGGACCCCGTCTCGACACTTGGTGGGCCTCTTAGGCCAACTGAGAGCTGTAACCCCTACACTGTAAAATACAGAAGAGGCCAACCTGAGCCTGCAAAGAAAATGGCTGTGCAGGGCAGCCATCCTTCCAGAGCTCCGGACAGTAACTGTATGCCAGGGACCCTTCTTGTGCAGGGGCTACAAGGCAAGGCTGGGGTCCAAGGGACCTACGATTAAAGTCTGTCTTCCTTCAGTTTGCAGAGCATAGAGATTATTGGCACAGCGACCCTTTGGCGCCGTCTCTCTGAGGGCTTCAGCTGAGGGCAGGCATCTGATTTTGCTTGTGTCCTGATGTTACAGCATCTGAAGTGAGGAGTGGGGAGCTCTGTAAATTGTAATGCTGCAAAACAGGAAGAGATGGGAAGGGTCGTCTGAGTCCCTGCCTGCTGTCCTTAAAGCAGACGGTCACCTCTTCTTAGCTGAATAATAGCCTTTTTTTCCCATGTTGACCCTTTGTTTGTAAGTGGTTGATTGGAGTGATGATTAGAGAGACTAGCACAAATTCAGTCAAAACAGCTGAAAAGTTCAAAAGTTGAATGCAGTTAAAGAGCTAAAATATTGGATTTTCATCTTCTTCGGGGATACAGCTTGGTCACAGTTATGCCAGATAATGAGATCGCCTGGAGGCAGCTCCTCACACCATTTGTAGCGTCCACTAGACACAGCCAAGGAGAGCTCCGGGCTTCCTGTGGTTGCGACCATCAGCGATGAAAACGGTGTTTAGTCAAAGGATGAAATTTACAGCAACTCCAAGATGCAAGAGCCTGCCTCTAAGAGACCTCAGTGAACTCTACCACGACAGCCACCGGGCTGCTCTGTAAGGTCAGGACACCTCGGGTGAGACCATCGGGTGACCAGCTGACCTAGTTTGCTTGCGACTGAGGAGTTTCCCGGGACAAAGGTCTTCCTTTGCTAAACCTAGCACAGCCCCCCAGGATCGTGTATCACCGTAACAAAGCTCGGACAGAAACTTTCTGTGAGATGCTACTCACAGTAGTGAGTGTCATTCAGGTTCAAGACTGGCAGGAGAGACACATGTATGAAGGAGGGTTCAGTCCAACGCGCCCATCACTTTCACTCCTTATGCTGGGGCAGGAAGGAAGCTCGGGAGATAGTGTTTTTATGAGGCTGGAGCCTAAACCTCATCGAATTCTAATCAGCCTCCAGAAAGCTGAAACACTCTCCTCCTGTCTCCTTGTAATCAATTCTTTGTCATCAGAAACGTGTGACACCTCGAAGGGAGGGGAGGACATGTCTTGAAAACTGATCAGAGAAATTGTCCTGAAAATGATGCTGTAAAATGGAAATGAGACCTTTAGAAAGAGAAATGCTGAACACAAGGCATCAGTAAGCCTCAGTATGGAAACCACAGGAAATGGGGAGAGACGGGAAGTAGGACCTGGTTGCGGGTCATGGGGCTGGGGGAAGCGCCGGGGAAGGATGCAGGAGGTCAGCATCCTAGGACCAGATGTGGAAATGGTTCTCTGACTTTGGGTGGGAAGAAACTCAGCCTCACAGATTCAGACCCCTTTGGGTGAGTCTCTTCTTGCAGAATTAAAGAGGAAGTTGTGAGCCTCAGGGGTGCCCCCGGGGTTCTTGTAAAGGCCTCCATTGCAGTGCTAACACTGGTAGTGGTGGCTATGGAAAGCTGACATTTGGACAAGGGACCATCCTGACTATCCGCCCAAGTAAGTGTAACAGGACACAGCAGCATACTGGAAATTCCAGAATTTCACCCACTGTGTTATGGTTGAGAGAAATGTGTGTTGCCTAGGAACCAGGTCTTGCTCGAAGCAGCCTCCAGGGTCCTTTATCTTCTTTAAACTCAATATTCATAGATTCCTTTTTGGACTTTGAGCCATTGGGTCTGTCTCCCTGCTGTTGAGTAAGGCTAACTTGACTCTGCTGCTTTCAGAGGCTTAGATGATGCCAGCTTTGGTAGGGAGGGTGCCACTCTTGCCAGCCGACTCCCCTGAGTAAGCTCAGAGTTAGCACTGTCCCCTGTCAGGAAGTTCTTCCTTATATCCGTCTTAAATTCTTTTTGGTGCATCTGAGGCCACTTCCACTGGTATCATCCACAGTGGAGAGGGAAAGTTGAGAGCAGAGTTTGAATAAGTACGTGCCATTCAGTTCAGAATGGGTTTCAAATGAAAGCAGAGAGGGGAAAAATGAAAACTGAATGGGAATCTGAGGTCTTATTTCAAATCCCTCTATGTTCCCTGCATGTCTCCTACTGCTTCTATAGATGCAAAACTACAAAAAGAAAGTAGAGGAAGAAAGGGATGGAAAAAAAAATACACATCCACTGTGTCTGTCCCTATCACTGAAACCACCAGGCAAGGGATTACAATTAATTCCAAGAGTTTCAGATACCAGGCTTAATACCTTTCTCCTCGTGGTGACTTGTATCCTTGCTGATAATTAGAGCAGATAGAAAGATTTGGCTTTGGTGAGTCTGCGGCTGCACCCCGCCGGGAAGAGAAACTCCTACTGTGTTTTTAAGATTCATAAAGTTCCTTCTGTCAGGCGCTGTACAACGCCCCACTGCAGGGAGAAGCCTGGCAGCTCTGAGAAGCTGACAGTCGGAAGGGGGGTGACTAACCACGAAGCCAGGAAGCTGGAAAGACCCAAACTCACAGTGTCCCCCAGGTATTTTTTGTTTTGGTTGGCTTTTTGGCCCTTTCTGGCAGGGATGCTAATGAAGTCCAAGGGAAATGGATCCAGGAGGCCGGAGCCCCACGGGTGCTCAGAAACATAAGTGGAAGGAATGAGAGACAGGGGAGAACGTTAAAAAGCAGGAGTAGGTCTTTGACTGCAGCGAGATGGGGAGGAGGGTGTCAAACAGAAGGGTGACATCACCCCGACTGTATCGCAGGCACTCTGTTTTCATTTGCTCCAAAGGGATGAGAGTCCAGTCCTGTGTCATTGTACAGGCTTGGTTAGTAAGAGGACAGCAGAGTCTCTACTCTGTATGGGGCGGGGGGTGTCTTCTGATACTGCTGTCTCCATCTGGTCCACCAAGTGGCAGCATCAATTCACAGCAGCTGGATGTGGAGCTAGAATGCGCTGCTGTCAGGCTGAATGTTGGCTTGTTTTGACCATCTAGAATGTGAAAGGTTCTTCCAAGGAGAGCCTGGGTCTGATGAGCAGAGGGCAGGTTGGACCCCTACTGCCCAGTTTTTGTCGAGTTTCTCCACGCCTGTTATTGTGAGAGCCAAAGCTGAGTGGTTGACATTTGAGCCTGGGAACCCTCTGACTGATGCCAAAGAGGTCTGAAAGGCCAGCACCCCCTTCAGAGCTCTGCTTTTGTTGTTAGCCTTTGGCAGTTGTCATTTCAGCAAAACGCATCCACTTAGAAAGGTCAGTTCTTCATCAGCCAGACAAAGGAGGACCACGTATTGACCAGTGGTAAAGAGTGAGGAGCCCAGATCTCAGCCTCTGAGAGGCTGGCATTTCCAGCCCTTTAATCATGGCAGCTGGCAAACATGTGCTGTCTCAGGGAAGGCAGATCAATGGTGCCTGAGAACCTGGTGTCATCAAGCTAAGACTTGGAGATGGAAATGAGATGCAGATTGGGATATTGTGTGGATGGCAGATAACAGAGAAGGGAGGAGGAGACGAGGGAACTCACTGATGCTTTTAAAACCCTCAGCATGTCTGGAGTTGCAGTGACACCAAGGTGGAGAAGCATGCATTCCTAGCAGGTTTCCTACCATCCCCTACAGAATCTGACCTAACTGTGCTCCACACTCTCAGATTCCATCCCATAGGTACCTGCGATGCCTTTTGAAGTGGCACCAAGAAAGACTCAGGGTCTAAGATCTCTAAGAGTCACCTGTCAGTTTTTGCAAAGGGTTGGGTGGCTGTGTGACAACTACAACAAGCTGACGTTTGGGCGGGGAACGAGCTTATCCGTCACTCCAAGTAAGTCTGACCATGACTCTGCCTGTGGAGTGGGTGGGGGGGGAGCTAAGGGTCACCAGCATGGGGCTCAAATGGCTATGCAGGTGGCATGATGGTTGAGGACACAAAGCTGAGGGAATCGAGATGTATGAACTCTGATCAGAAAAAATCAATCAATCAATCAAAGAATGGCAAGTGGAGGTTTTGCACTGAAAAGGTAGCCTAGAGAGCTTGGGACTTGAGAGTAGCAATTTGAAAAACAAGTCACCCTGTGTTCTCAACCCACACCCACATCCTCCCTGCTCATGGGGGACAAGGTTGGGGGAGACAATGGGCACTGCATAACGGGGTGTTAGGGACATGAGGCAGCTTGGAAAGGAGCAGGGTCAGAGCCTCATACTGGGTTCATCCCGAGAAAAGGAATTGTTCCAGAAATATCACAAAGAAATAAAATCCTTCCCAGAGTTAAAAGATGTAATAAAGAGACCTAATTAAAATGCACTTCAGAATCATGTGATCATCAGGAGAGAAATTAAATCTTAAAAGGAAAAGAATTTTTTAAATGCCCAAGCATAAAACAAATGGGCCCACACCTTTAATTAGCGAGTGGCTCTCAAGGCACATTAGCCTTCCCCTTTGCTCCCCTCTCAGGAGGACACGTCCCTCCAGCCGCTCGCCCGTGGTCCCAGCTGCTCCAAGCCCTGAAACGCCTTCCCTCTCACGCCCTGCTCCTGCGCCTGCTCTGGGGGCGGGAGCCTCTGTCTGCCTGTCCGTCCGCCGGGGTCGGGGTTGGGGGGGCCCCAGGCGTGGGCTCTGTCCTCTGCCTGGTTTTTGTTGAGCTTCCTATCACAGTGTTAACATCGGCAACCAGAACTTCTATTTTGGGAGAGGGACACGTTTGACAGTCGTTCCAAGTAAGTCAAAGGAAATTTTCCATCACCGTTGTGTGGAGCCAACCCTTTAAATTCCAGAAAGAGATCATGAAAAATCTGCTACTCTAGTTCTCAGCTTCCAGGTATAGTGTTATCTGGAACAGAGCAAAAAGCTCCTCCTCTCCACCCCAAGGGTGATTTATGCCTTGACAGGTCTTTACTGCTGTCTGAAAACCCCTGGGAGGAGGGGGACAATGTCATCTGTAGCCACGCTGGCCCCGCCAGCTGCCCCCTCGCACCTGCGCTGACCAGAAGCTTGGCCTTTGTGACACAGGCCGCAGGAGCAGAGAATGAGGGACAGGTCTCAACTGAGAGAAAATGGATCAGAAGGCGAGAGAAGGGAAAAGAGGCCACTTCAGAGAAAACTGAAATCTGGGAGGGTATAAAGGGATGGAAAAATGCCTCTGGGCAGTCCAGGCTCATCCTGTGATCAGACCCGAGGGATTCCCTGACGGCACCTGCAGAGAGAAAGGGGATTCCTAGTCCTCTCTCTGAGGGAAAAATTGGCAGAAAAATCAAAACAAATCTCACATGTCAAGCCTCTCCTAATTATAGCCTTTTTTTCTCAGTTTCTCTCAGTTGGTCCAGCAGGAAATGGTGTGAAGGGGGAAGGGGCCCCTGAAGGCTTTGATGGGGAAGCGGTGAGAGGAGGGGGTTCACAAGGAATTGGGGGTGCATGCAGTAGAGTTTGGAGAGCTTGGAGCAATGGTTTTTGTTAAGACTTAGGACACAGTGTGTCTAACTACAGAAACAACAAATTTACCTTCGGGACAGGAACGAGGCTCACCGTTACACCCAGTAAGTACTGCGTCCTTGATCAGGACATCAGTTATCCTTTCATTTCCAGGTTGCCTGTGTAAGGTTCTGGAATCATACTAGATCATGCAGGCTCAGGGGGATTTCCATCTGTCCTTTTTCATAACTGGTTTTCTGGGGGAACTCCAGTCTTGAATATTTAATTCAAAACGAGAAAATACGATTCACAAGTCTGTTTTTGCTGCTGCCATCATGTGCTAATGTGTCAAGTGAAGAGAATTCAGACAGAATAACTGCATTTTCACGTTTATTTGGTGTGATCATTTGAACTTTGAGTACCGCAAGCGTTTGGAAGACATGGTTGAAACGTAGGCTCTCAAAAAGACAAACAAACCACAAGACCCAGAGGGGCAGGCAGACAGAATGCCAGGCGGCATAATTTTACCAAATTAGCCCGGTGTGGGTCTCTCTTTGCAGATGGCAAAGGTATTTGGAAAGCTGCTAAGAGCTGATGCTCCGGGTTGGGCAGAGCAATGGGATGCTGAGCACTGATCCCAAGGGGAAAGTTTAAACTTGGAAAGCGCAGGGTTTTTCCCTCAGTGGAGTTTATCAGTGGGGCAGCACCTCTGTGTTTAGTAAATTACAATTTGGACAAGGCACAGAATTAACAGCTACAAATGACTATGTCTGAGATGATAGGTGATAGATAGATGGATAGAGAGATGATAGATACATAGATAGACAGATAGATGACAGAGAGAATGAAATAGATACTGGATACATACACAGAGCAGAGTAATGTGAAAACTGAAAAGCATGGGGCAAATAAATTCCTTGCATCTGAAATTAAAAACCATGGAAAATTTTAACACGTTCACATTGTAACAAAAGACAACCTCCCAAATGCTGCAAGAGTAAGAAAGGGAGGAATAGAATCTTTCCAAGTCTGGGTTTCCCAATTGTCTCAACCACTCAGTTACCTAGAGGAATCTTTTTTTCTTGTTTCTGCATTAGAAATTAAAGGCATGAATATTGAGGACTTAGATGGCTCCGACTCTTGTAGTGAAAATCACATTATAAAGCACCTCCCAGCTAGA